TATGTGAAATGTCAGGGATGTTTGATGGATAATTGAAAAAGGACTTGCAAATGGACGCGTGATATCAGATGTCAAGCTCACTCTGATATACCCTCTACCAAAATACTGTGAGGTTCTCAACAGTGACAAGAGATGATTGGGATGGATGTTTCACAAGTTCTTTGGTCTCCATAGGTCAAATGGATTGATTTGGTTTGGAGTGTCAAATGTCGGTCTTGAACAGATGTTTCAGGGGATTGTTGGAGAGGGATAAGTGTGGACTTAACATACTTTACAAAACGTACATAAATTTTTTTGAGGGGCAACAGTGGCAGCCCCAAAGAAAGAAGAAAAAAAAGTAGATGGCCTAAAAAAGTTCATGTTTACTGTATATAATGATTTGTTTAATGATATACACTGGTGGTCAAAAGTTTGGAATAATTAAGGTTTTTAAATGTTTTTGAACGAAGTCTCACCAAGACTGCATTTATTGATTCAAAAATAAAGTAAAGATAGAAATATTGTGAAATATTATTAAAATAACTGTTTTCTATCTGAATATATTTCAAACATAATATATTCCAGTGATCGGAACACAACATTTTCAGCATCATTACTCCAGTCTTCAGTGTCACATGTTCCTTCAGAAATCATTTTAATATGCTGATTTGCTGCTTAATTTTTATTAATGGTTCTTATTATTGTCAATGTTGAAAACAGTTTTTTGCGGAAACATTTTTTTTTTCAGGATTCTTTAATGAACAGAATGTTCAGAAGAACAGAATTTATTTGAAATATTTTTTGTAACATTATACAGTAATTGTCTTTACTGTCACTTTACTGTTTACACGTTTTTTTTTTTTTTGCACAAACAAATATAAAGCAAGCATCTAGTATTTAAAAATAGGAATCAGATTTTAGTTTATAACAACACAATTCTAATCAAAAGTTAATATTAAAACATAAAATATGTTGCATTCAAAATTTTCTTGGCTCACTTGATGAATCTAGTACTAGGAGTGAAAATGTACAGTCAGATACTTGCAGGGGAAAGATGACAAAAGAAAAATAGATATTGTGAGAGATTAAACATTTTTGTTCAAGAAAGGGAGGGTCAAATCTGGTTTTACATCTGAATAGTCCCAGAATCTTCTCTATCACTGCCAAGATTAGTGCTTCCATGAGCCTTTTACTCGAGACAGTGATTAAATCTTACAAGAACAGAGTACAGATGGTGGGACACACACACACACGCACACACAATTTTGAACACAAAAAGATCATATTTTTTAAACAACCCACACATAACCTTAGCCCTGTATTACATGCACAAAATACACAAATCTGGCTGTTTTCATTAATAAAATCAACATAATGTAATCTTCCCTGTGCTTATATATTTGCAAACATGATTATGGTGTATGTTCGAGTGCCCTTTAACAAATCTGGCCTGATTACCAAGCAGTCAAACAGGCAGGTAGCTAGGGTCTTTCAGTACGGCGAAATTACTCCCTGTGAGAGTAATATCTTGCCTATGGAGTTTTATAACCCCAGTATTTATGACAGGCACTCATGGAGGAAAAAAAGACTCTTCAGCAACAGATGAAAACACAAATATGGATCTGACATTACAAAAAATGTAGAGAGTGCTGAAATCTGAAAGGTGTATTTTGCTGCAGTCATATTTTGTAACAATCTTTTATCATTATGCTTATATTGATATCCTCTATGCCACTCTGTGTGGCTGTATTGGTTCTCGGGAAGCTTTTAGAATCTGTTCCAAGAGCTCTAATGGTCCCTTGTAGGGATGCACCGAATGTTCGGTAACCGAAATTATTCGACCGAAAATAGCAAAAAAATATCTTTCGGTGTTCGGCCGAATAAGCGAAAAGGCCGAATAATATGTACCAAACAATGACTAACGCAATCAAATAGAGGCACGCACTAATGCAGCAAACATGTAGGCAGTGTGAAAGTATTTAAAACTATCAGAAAAAGACGCAGAAATCATTTCAAGCACGAAGCACCGACAGCGAGAGA